CTGCAAGATGACTGGGAGGGAAGTGAGGGAAGGGAGGGAAGGGAGGGAAGGGAGCTTCAGGATGTTGGTTGGCTTGAGGGAAAACCTTAATGAAGCCCTGAGGGTTTAGTTTTGGGAAAGGTTCATGTTTCTGCTTCAGACTTCCGACCCCCCCCCCCCCCCCCCCCCCCAACCCCCCCCTCTCTCTGTCGAGGTTTTGATAGGGACAGGCACGGGATCGGGATTTTGGGCCAGGGGGTTCTTTATATTGGGGGGGTATTAATACTAGGGGGAAGGGATTATACTGTATGGCAGTATGGATGGCCTTGAAGCCATGTCCTGTGCGAATCTTGTCGCTTGGTCAGTCATTCTCTTCTCAAGGCTCAGGCACAAGGAAGGTTATTTGGTTCGGAAGGCCGGTATGCAGTCCGAATTGTCTGCCCAATCTTCTCCTCATGCCAGAGAGAGAGAGAAAGAGACACACAGACATTGGACCGAGTGTGCTGGGCGCGCCTGTGCGCGCGGGGGGTTCCTCGGGCGCCTCATGCCCCGTAGAAGAAGAAGAGAGAGAGAGTGGGAGGGTTATGTGCGCAGAAAGAAAGAGAGAGAGAGAGAGAGAGAGAGCGAGCGAGAGACTTGGTGAGGGGGGGAGCCTCTCCCTGTGGCTGAATATGCTGTTCTTCTCAGTTTTCGACCAAAGGTCGCTCGAGACTTGTGGACAACCCGGGCGCCTAGTGCGAGATGGTCGGGGGTACCTTCCCTGGCCTGCAGCTCCGTAGAAGAAGAAGAAGAACAAACTGAGAAAGAAAGCAAGAAAGAACAGAACAGAAAAAGCACACAACAAAAGAAAGAACGAAATAAAGAAAAAGGAAAAAAGAGAAAGTGGACGGTCTTCAGCAGTGTGGTGCGGGGCAGCGGTGTGTGGCTGGCGTAACCTTTACACCAGACGAGGACGACTGGGCACGACAGGAAGAACGTGAGTTGCGTCACGAAGGCCATGTGTTTAAGCATGTTCACGCCGTGTGCGCCAAAGCTGTGAGCGCCAGTGATGGCGGCGCGTGCGAACAACGTTTCGGCGGAACAACGTTTCTGCGTGTTTGAATATACAAGAAACATTTGCAGTTTGCGATAGCAAGACTGGAAGAAGATCGTACGTGCCTGTTCATACTGTGGGTTTTTGGTATAGCGAGCCAACGAAATAAAAGTCATAGTCGTGCAGACCAGCGATTGATTGAACCTTCCACTGTGCTTCTGCTACCAGGTCTGGGGCTCTGGAGTTTCTGCCAAACCCGGCATCAGAGCTGAGCGCGCTATCAAATCTGGAAATATCGCTTTCGTCCTTGACACAGAGGCTGATGGTTCAGGGCTTCAGTCGTTTAGTTGGTTTTGGTGTTAGGAGGTCGCAAATTCTTCCAGGTTTTTTGTCAGAAGCTTTCCAAACATTGATGTCCACGGACTGCGTCGTTGATGTTTGGTGACGTGTGCTGACAATTGAGGATTGTCCGAAACCCTTGTCTGCGATTCATATCAGCGAAAACCAACTATAAACAAACTTGCCCAGAACTAGGCACGCACAAGCTCCGTGCAAGCACGGCGCAAGGAATGGCGCAAGGGATTTCTAGCTGTTTCTGTTTGTTTGTGATGAGTTTGCACGAAGACCATTTTGAGCTCCACTGCACGCGCGCAAGCATGGCGCAAGCCCCCAAATTGGGATTAAGGAATCTTGGACAGCCCCCAATTGACGATGTGCCCCGTTTTCGCGAGTCGTGCCACGTTTTCGCGAGTCCTCTAACTGAACTGCTTTTCATGACGGCCCTCTCGGTGTGCGCGGCATGTCATCGCTGCCATCCTCGAAACCATGGGTGTTTCGGATCATCTTATCGATTCCTTGTCGTGTGTCAAGAATGTCAACAGTCAGAGTTTCGTGGGGCTATTATCACAATGAAAAGCGAAGTATGCAGAGGACGTCTGCATACCATACTTTGTCGTGCAAGACATAGGGCACGGATGCTGCCCGCATCGTAGTGCAAGTGCGGTACGTCCAGAGTTCGATGTTTTCCCTTGTCTCCCGTCCTATATTCTATTTAGAAATGCTGCACTGCTTTGCTTGCTCCGGAGCCTGCCCTCTCCGTAAGAATCATCAAGGTGATGCTGCTCATGATGTATTTTCGTCGTTTAACGATTTCGGACCATCCTATGCCTAGTTTTGTCGAAGGTCTGTGAGATCTAGAATCTAGGGTGCTCTGAAAATGGAGGCTGGCGCCGATCAGTTCCAGGAGGAAACCACGCACTTAGACAAGGGCTCAGTGGACATCATGGTGACGTGGTCGCACCTGGAATTTCAGTTGAACTGGACGTGTTCCCCAAGCCCAAAGATTCGATGAACTCCTGACACCCCAATTCTGTTGAGGTGACGCATGGACCACCCGCCGGCAAGCTGTACGGGAAACCAGGAAAGTTGCCATCCTGCGTTTCCGAGCTGGTCACCTTTGTGCAGCCGAAGCTATTCCTTTGTCCCTAGGCCGAGGTCTCCAGAGATTACGTGCTTCCAGATTTGGTGCTTTGTTGGCCACATGCAGACCAGAAGAGGATCACTTTTTTTTTTCTCAGCTCGGTTGCTTCGTCTCAGCCTCGGGCACTGGATTAGGTGTTCCAAGGCGCTGGAGCCCGAACATTTCCCCCCCCCCATAACAGAAGCATCGAATGCATGCTTCAACATGTCTCCCTCCTCCCTGTTTGTGGAGATCTTTGCCAGATCCCCTAGCCGATGCGCCTGTACTGTACTTGCTATTGACTTGAAGTCCGCTGGCGATCCCAAACGATGCAGATTTGGCAACATGACATGTCACTGGCCCGGGCGTCCAAACCTCCCGACCCTGGACCCTGCAGGCAATCGAAGTGCAGGGTTTAGACTGGCGTGCAGGACATCATGCTCGAAATAGATCATCGAAGATCTTTAGTAACATGTAGTTTGTGATTTTTTCACGAACCGCTTGCGTTGTACTGGGTGGACATGATGTTTCATGTGGTTTCTGACAACCAGGCCCTAAAGCCGCCCGAAAGCACATCCACCGTGGAGCAGACTAAGCTTCCCGTAAGCGCGTTTCGCAATTTGACTGTGGGGCTGAGGCCTATTGTGGGATGAAGAAAATGAGAACCATCAACCATGCTGGGATTATGAGATGTTTGTTCGTTAAGCAAACGCAGCACTTGGCGATCTCAGAAGCGACAGCTTTGGCCTGCAAGCCGGCATGAGTCGAATCAAACGCTATTAGCGACATCAAGGCCGGGGCCCGTCTCCTTTGGCAAAACATGATATGTGCATGCTTGCGGGGCCGTGCTTGCGGGGCCGTGTGCGCATGTTGCTGGCACAACGGCAATGTTTATCTGCACTACTTCGCCGGTCTTGCTCGCCTTCATAAGATCAGCATGGGCTCCGCGAGTACAGTTGCCAGAAAGAACGCCCATGCCGCCCAAATCTGTTCGAGCACATATCTTCAAAGGTCATTGCTTGCTCCTTCCATGAATATCTCCTTGCTCCTGTCGTTGCTGGTGCTCGTAGAGGCCTTTAAGTGCATTAGGCTGACACGGTGGACTTGTTTGCAACGGTCATGCTTATCATCCGATCCGAGAGTTTTTCCAGAACTTACAATCGGAATAGCGAAGTGATGCAGAGCGACACTTGGCATGAGCCTGGCCGGTGTCCACATCGTGACAGCAAACGTCGTAAACGGCATGCCAAGCCGCTTCTACGAGGTACTGCAGAATGTTGTCTGCTGATTAGTTCCCCAACCACCCCCCTCAACAAATGGACCCCCCTCTTTTGTGTGGGGGGGGGGAGGGGGGGTCTGGCTTTATCTGAGTTTATGAGGGATGAGTTTGTATGAATTTCAAAGGGGTCCATATGATCTTAAACGGGATGAGCTTATATGAAGTTAAACGGGATCCATATGATTTGAAAGCGATGAGCTTGCATGAATTTAGACAGGATCCATATGTTTTTACAAGGGATGCGCTTATTACATGAATGTTAAATGGATCCATATGGTTTTAAAAGGGGTGAGATTGTATGACATTAAAAGGGATCCATACGATTCTAAGAGGGATGAGTTCATATGAATTAAAAGGGATTCATATGATTTAAAAGGGATCCACATGATTTTAAACGGGATGAGTTTCTAGCCTCGGTACAAAAGCATTTTATGAGGAAATCTTAGCTTTTGCTGGCCTGGAGACTTAAGATTTCAAACCTCAAGGTTTCAGGCTTTAAACCATTGCTCAGGCTCAGATCTTTGGCCTCAGGCTCAGATCTTTGGTCTCTCCGGCCCAACTCTATTCAACAGCCTCTCCGAAATTTTGCATCGCCCGATTTTTTTTCACAATTCCGGAGGACCTCCTCAAATAGACCCCCCTGAATAGTTTTTGGATGTTTTTCACGGGGGGCACACTAGTCAGGATACAACATTAATTTCTTTGGTCATACAACGTAGAAAAGCTGCTTGCAGCTGTTCGCTCGGGGCCAGCCGAGTGTGTTGCTCGGGAGTGGCGAGCTACCATGCAGCAAGGTGGCCATGAGCACAATCCCGACAACTGGAAAGTTGAGCAGAAGGCGCGAGAAGCGGGGGTGGAATGCAATGGGAGATGTAAAGGAGTTCGCCTTCCAGGGTTATTGTACTAGTGTTGCATCAGTGGTGGGAGATGCCCTGTTGAGGTGGTGAGCCTGGAGGATGGCATTCTTGGCTTGAATTGCTCCTGTACTGGTACATGGAACCAGTTCAGCGGCATACCCTTCGTGGCTGCTGTCCTGCAGGTAGACATGTGCAGGTTTCAACCCGGGATGTCCCACGATAGTGCAAGTTTGTTGTAACAAAGAATCGTAGAAGTCCGTGAGCAATCAGATGCTGTGTGCAAGTTGTCAGATAAAGCAAGCTAGTACATGTGGCCAAGGGTTTTGCCATGATGACGTCGGTCTTTGGGAGCTAGCTAGCTGCACTTTTGGCCTCGCAACCAAAGCCAAGCCTGCTGCTAGAGTATACCACCTCGAAAAGCCCCACCAGGTCCCCAAAACCCACCTGCAAGGAATTTAAGTTCTACCCGCCTGAGCCTCCCTGGCCGGCTTATATATATACAATTTTGGTACAGTTGCCCACGCGAGCCTGCTGGCCGGCTGATTCTTTCAAGCAACATTCCGTTACAGTTTCCGTTGCACCGGAGCCTCCTGGCCGGCATATTCTAAGTCAACATTCCCGTAATTTGCCTGGATGTGCCTCCCTGCCTTGTTTTTTCAGGCAAATACCGGCACATTCGCCCGCCTGAGCCTCCCTCACATGCTTTTTCAGGTCACATTCCGCCGCGTCCTGAAGGTTGCACTGTTCGGGAGCCGTACGGGCTGCTGTCTTGAGCACGTCGCGTGACATGATGCGTGAAGATCTAACAACCCCACTTGTCAGGTGGGGAACCAAAGTAATGTTCAGTTCCGACTACTAGTGTGGTTCGTATTCACACGAATGTTTCCAAAAACGCGGTAAGAATAATATGATTAGTTGGTTCTTATTCAAGCGAAATGTTGCCGAACAGTCTAATCGTGAGCCCAGAAGTCTAAAAGTGACGACAGTTTCGCATTTCGCGAGCCCAGACATTCAACAGCGACCCCGTGCCCCAGACTAAAAAAGCGACGGCAGTTTCGCATGTCGCGAGCCCAGACATGAAAAAAAACGATGACCGTTTCGTGCCCAGACGTCCACAAGCGATGCAATTTTCGAGGACTCTGAGTTGGCCTGCCGTGTAAGCCCATCGAGCTATAGCCCATCCTTACCCTCAACATTGGAACCCCTTAGAGCCCTATTGTTGACATGTGTTGACACGTTGCTTGGTGAAACCAGAGAAACAAGCAAGACAACATTGCCAAAGTGCAGGGATCACCACAGGGATCTGAGCATGAACCTACGCACATACTCTATGTTGTTCTCGCTTCCAAACATGTCCTTGGGTCTAAGCGGGCCCCTGCCACAGTCAAGGCCTACATGTATGGCGAGGTTGTGCGGCTCTCGTAAAGAACTTCTGCAGCTTTTGCGTCGCGATCCTTCCATACTCGGAAGTAGCAGGTCCGTATCAAACGTACGGAGTCATGCCGTTAAGCTCTGCGGCATTTGCGGCGCGACCTGTCGGCACTTCGAAGTAATCAGCAGGCCCCGTGCAAAAGGACGGATTCATGCCATGAAGCTCTGCAGCTGGCTGTCTTCATGCCTCGAAGCTCTTCACGGGCCTATAGCCGCAACAACAAGTGTAGCATGTCGAGGCCGAGCATCTAAAATCGAGACAGCTTCGTCCAAAAGCAAGACAGGTGTCGCGAGCCCAGGCATCCCAAAGCGTCCCAGAAGTAAAGAAATGATGGATCACATTTCGCGAGCAGGGACCCTGACTTCCAAAAACGACGACAGTTTTGCATTTTTCGGGTTCGCATCTCGCGAGGAACCGATGACAGTCTCGCATTTCTCGAGCACCGACGTCCGACAGGGAGGACAGTTTCGAGGACAGCGAGTCCAGCCCAAATGCGAGCAAGCTTCGAGAAAGATCCATGGTCCGCAGCGTGTGCGCACGCTCCGCATGGCCCTATCGACACCCCCCCCGTCACCCTGACAATCCGATGTTGTTTGGGGAACAAAAACGATATGATCCGAAACCTAGCTAAGGATCATCAAGGCTGCAGGCCAAAGCTTTATAAAACCTTAAGAGCTGAAGTCTTGAAGGCGACAGCCCCAAGGTCGGCAACCCAAGGCCTCCAGCCTTCAAGGCTGCAGCTAAAAACGTAAAGTTTCAGAGTTGAAGTCTTGGAGGCCTTGCATACTTGAAAGGGTCGGAAAAAGCCCGGATGAGGCCGCATAGAGGCCACCCCGCCGCAAACAATCTTGACCCCTCCCCCCGCCATAAAAAAATTGAAAGCTTTCTCACACTTAAGCTCAAGGGCTCAAAAACACTACGTGGCCGATCATTCCGTCTAAAACGAATCACAATTCCAAGTCCATACTACTCATAGAGAGGTGTACGAGGAGGTGTCGAATTGCAGATGCTCAGGTTGATCTTCCCGCGCGCCGGGCAGCTGACCCCGGCCCCGCGGGTCTTTGCTCCGTCATACGAAGAGCCTGCGGCTGTGACGCGTGATCTCACATGAGTAATCTATCTGCGAAAAGGCATCTGTCAGGTTTCACTGCAAATGTTCCAAGAAGTCGGGAGTTGATACCTGATTTAGTATGATTCACCTGGCCTTCTGTCACATTAAGCCCTTACCCGGTCTGCATCTCCCGAAGTTGTCACTCTGGCTCCTTGACCAGCAAGGCTTGCACGCCGCCGACGAATGTGCTTGAAAAACAGGGTGCTCCGAGGAGTTGAGTTTTGTCATATCATTCATTCTTTGTACGCTTGTTGATGCCATTTCAAATGTGCCGGACTATTGTAAAAATATTGCAGCGTGCAGACAAAGCAAGCATTCCGGGCCCGCGATGCCTTGCCACTCCATGTCTC